TTTTTTTTCCTTTTTTTTATTTTTTTTTTTTTTTTTTTTTTTTTTAATGTACCTACTGGAAATGTGCAGTGACTGGTTTTCTAGGTTTTGGTTTCAAAGTCTTGGAGATTTAACATAAACCTCAGGCTTATTTAGAAGTGTTAGGTGATCTTCATGTCTGCGTTTCTCAAAACACTGTCATCACTATACGACATCTCTTATAAAATGTGATGAATAACTTTGATTACACTGACAGACATGTACTTTAATTTTTCCCCTCAAACATTTTTCAATTTAATAGCACTTTAGAGACCCACAAACCTCTAATTTACAAGATTCACTTAACTCTGCTGTTATTCCGCTTAATGCTTTTTTCTGTTGTCTTTGGCAATAGAGAGAGGGAGTGAGGGTAAGATATAAAAAATTATAATAACACAGAAGTGGAGACAAAAACAGTGATGACAAATCCAAAGACTCACAACAAATGAGAGAGACAGCAGTTCATCGACAGCCAATGTTTTCTTGGTCTAGTGCAGTGAATCACTTATGCAGTGGGACACTTGGTGCAGTAATAGATCTGCTGCCACAGCTGATTCGTGAACTACATGTATACGATGCAAGGTCCAGCCTGTTAGTTACTGACAGCTACAGGGTGGCAGAGAGAGTCAAACACCAGCAGCAAGTAGTAAACACCCTTCGCTGAAAACAGCCATTGTTTGAGAAGCGCAGTGTTGGGTCTGTCTCCAAACACATAACAGGAAACCACACCAGATGACTACAAGTCAGCAGCAGCCTACTATCCATAAAAAAAAGTTATTTATCTAAGGAGTACTGCAAAATATTATCCTCATATCATCTTTCTTTGGCATTCTCTTGACCCTAATACTCTACTTTCATAGACAGTTAGAAATGCAACTTGATGGCTAACAAAGGTTCAATTTGACTGTTTATTGGCAGCCTAAACAGCAGCACGTCATGAGTCAACAATATAAACCCACATGCACCTGTTTCATTTAAAGTGAAAACTTCAGTCAGACACTGAGATCACTCTCACTGCATGTTTGGGTTTGCCTGGTCTGTGTAGCAATATCTGCTGCTACCGGATCCAGCTCACTGATAGGAGGTGATCAGCTGTCACCTCCGCTCCACAACAAAGAACAGCATCGAGTCACATACAGGCGACTTTCTCTAACAGAGATAGACCAACACTGCAACACTCAGTCGAGGGCTTGTGAGTGTCCCCATACTCACACCCACAGGCAGTGCTGTATGAAGAGAAAAGCCAAGCTATATCTGCAGCTGGTACAAGTCTACCCTAGCATCTAACCCACCAGGCAGGTATCTTTCCATGTGTCTATAAAATATATCTAAATTACAGTTTTGTAAGAATAAATGTTTTATTTTAAGTAGGGGTTTGCACTTTATGTGCACTGGTCTTGATACATCTGTTTAATTATATTCAATCATGCTTGAATTTTGTGTCAACAACTTGTGTGTGTCCTGACAAGCTTGTTGTATACAGGCCTATTGACAGTGTGCATGTTGACTCAGTGGACTGCTTACCCTTGTTATACACAAAAAGTAATGACACTGGCTGCAATTTCTTGGTTTTCTGTATAAATTGGTCATGAAATGTGATCTGAGCTTTACCAGAGTCACAAATAGCATCAAACACAATATTTCTATGCTGATACAACAAACAGCCATGATACTTTATGGCTTTGTTGAATACACCCATTAAACGCTTGCCATTGAGGAGGGGAAGTTGAATTCCCAGGTTCATCGAGGTATCCTACAGGATGATGTTAGGGTGGCTGTCAGCAAGCTGAAGCTCAGAGCAAGCTGGGTGATGCAGCGAGTCATTGGCCCTAAACATAGGAGTAAATCTACTACAGAATGGCTTTGGAGACAAAATCCACCTTCAGAGACCAGACCTCAACCCAATAGAGATGTTGTGGAATGACCTCAAGAGAGCCATTCATACCAGCCGTCCTAAAAATATGACTGAACTGAAGCAGTTCTGTTGGGAAGAATGGTCCAAAATTCCTCCTGAAAGTTGTGCAGGTCTAATCTACAGCTACAGGAAGTGCTTGCTTGAGGTTATCAACTGGACTAAGTTTTTTTAGGTCGAAGACATTTCACATCTCATCCAAGAGGCTTCATCAGTTCTGCTCGACTGGCATTGAGTCGGAGATATTTATCCCCATCGGTGGTGTTTTTCAACTTACTGTGACCTGGATGACTGAGAATCTTCACGGACACTGTTGCTATGACTTTTTCACTATCACTTTATATGTTTAATGGGTGTGTTCAATAAAGGCATGACAGATCATGACTGTGTTTTATTAGCTTAGAAATATTGTGTTTGATGATATTTGTGACTGGTGAAGATCAGATCACATTTCATGACCAGGAAAACACAAACATGCCATTACTTTTTCTTGCAATTGGTGGCTACTTCAGGACAAGCCCTAATGTGGGATTAATGAGAGGGGGGCGCTGTGAATAATGAATGGCTTGAATAATAGGAGCAAGGCTCTGAGTTTACGTGACTCACCTTGCAGCGCCACAGTCAGGTGACCACCACGAAGCAAGCAGGCTACCTCTGAAGCTTTCCTCAGGCAGGACCTGGAGACAGAGAGCCAGCTGATAATAGGTAAAGCAATAACATTTATCTGACAACATGTTACTAACACTTACTATAGGTACAGTTAAAATGTATCTAAAACACAAAGAGATATCTGTTCTAACTACTAAAAGACTTACAATCCAAAACCGTATCAAACAAATATTTTCTTGCTGCATAGCTGATATATTCCTGCATTTGTCTCAGTCACTATAAGGTAATACACACAGTGGAAAGTTTTGTGTTAATGAGAATGCATTTCACAAACATTTGCTGGTTCCAAGTGACCAGAAAGCTGAGTAGTAGTGATGATGCTTTATTTACAATTAAAATATAGTACTTTAAATTTCATTCACTGTACTCTAAAAACCTTATCTGACTGATCTATACATTCTCAAAAGGATTTCTGAGCCCAGGATTATAGTTCTGCTGTGAATGTTTATGCTGAGCAGTGAAAAGCCTCGAGTAGGAACAACTGGCCTATCAGAGCTGCTACCTGGTGTAGTCTAACCAGTGGGTGCTTTCCAGGGTAGATAACCATTTGTCATCAGGCACTGACACAGATGTGGAGATATCTACAAGTCAAAAGAGGAACAACACAGATCATATTCAGACATTATTACCACAAATGCATGGAAGTCTAAAAAGTTTCAGAATGATAAATCTCTGGAACAACGAGATGAGCTCCGTACATGAAATGTGATAAAGAAAGCAGGACTTTTACAGTAACCTTAAAGTACGTCATTGGTTTGACTGACACATCAACTCTTTACATACAGTGAATAGGGACTTCTGTCAAAGACCCCTCAAAGCACATACTTGACGAAACAGATATTTATATACCCACTGAACTCCCACTAAAGTGGTAGATGTAGGTGCTTCACTTGTCACAGTTTGCTCAGTTACTGTGTGGGTGTGTGTGCGTGTCTTGTTCCCACCTCCCAGACAGAGGGTGCGCAGGCGGCTGTGTGCCAGCTGGATGTCAGCAGGTGAGGGCAGCTCCTCGCCGAGCTCCACCACCACACACAGAGAGGACTGGCAACCAAACAGGATCATCTCCAAGTTTCTACACAACAGCATATTCTGTTAACACACTGCTACATCTGCAACAAGCCTGTATTATTTTGTGACCAAGTTGCCTTGTGTGCCTTTCTGCATTTTTTAGTCAAATGTTTGTGAACCGTTTATAACACCTACGAAGACTTGAAAGTTTGAAATTAAATGCTGTTAAAAATCTAAGTGGATTTTCCAAAGATCATTGTAATATTTCCCCTAGTGAATTTGTTCAAATGTTGCTTGAGTTAGGAGGAAGAATTAATGTTCAGTCTAAATAAACAAGTACTGTAAAAACTCATTAGTGCAAGTTGAATCTGCTATTCTGACCTCACACTGTGTTGAGCTACGTTTAAATTGCAGCCTCAATCATCTGTAAATGCATGAAGTATTTAGCCTGTAACCGGCTGCTGCTATTTTAGATTTGGTTTCCTGTGTTCAGACACCTACCACACACATTCTGTACGCTGACTGCTATCTGTAGTGGCACAAGGTTCAGCTGCAGAGAGGAGTATGTGGCTAATACAGTATGTAATCCCTCACTCAGTGACCTCAGAATCTTATCATCTGTAGAAATGAATTAACACCAACTATTTTATCCATGTGTAGCTGGTGGTGTGAACAAGTTACTTGACTGTAGCTTGTTCACGCCTCCAGCTTTGCACACAGGTCAGAGAAAAATATAATGCTTACAAAATATGTTGGAATATAAACTGATTTAATAAACTGTTTGTACTCGGTTCTGCCGTCCTCTGAGCACTTTCTACCAAATCAAACCAAAGGAGCAGATGTGTGAATGGGCAAATCTGGACAAAGTCCAGGCCTGATTCCTGTGGACAAAGTCCGGAGTTCATGTGTGAAACGGAATCGTTCCTTTCTGACATTTTATTTGATGAGATGGTCCTTACTGTAGCAGTCCCACAGCCTGATTTAGACCACGTTGATGACTAACCAACCAACCTATTATTAGTCCAAAGTGTGGGTGGTCAAATGCCAATGCTGACAACAACAGTCACACATGCTCTAAAATCAATTTGAAGAACATTAAGCATCAACTCACCTGATATCATCTTTCTCATGATAAATGTTGTTCTGGAAGCTTGCCATTCGCAGCAGATCACTACCTCGGGGGTGTCGCCAACACCAGCGCTGCAACACAAAGCACAGCTTGACCCTCTTCAATAACACGTTGCAGAGTGTTTAAATTCCCTGAAGGCACTCACTGCATCTTGTAATATGTGTCACTGGAATGATAATAAGGGAAACTGTGTTTGATCAGCAGAATATTGAACTGCCGAACTGCCATTACAACAAAAGACACTATACATTTGTCTTTCTTCTTTTAGCTTTGGGGTTACAAAGACACAAAATCACAGATACTGCCTTAAATGAAGACCCCTCAGAATAATGTGTAAAATCTGTAGAAAATACAAAATGTGTAGAAAACTGGATTTTTAAGGCCTTATAAGAAAATTCACAAAATATTTTACAGTACAGGTTTGATGCAAGAAAAATCGCTTTTTTGTTAACAGACTGCATGAAATCATGAACCAATCACAAAATAAATGTCGTCACCACTCATTTAAATAGTCGACTCAGTCAGAATGTTCTCAGTATTAAGTGCACTCACAGGGATGCGTCCTTCATTGAAGTGGGCAAAGCTTTTCTTCAGCTCAGTGTCAAAAACCTTCTGTGGGACCGCAATGAACCTCGGCAGACTGACAGGGAACAGAAAGAATTCTCTGTTTTATTGACAGAATTAGTGGAGCAGTAGAAGCCACAGACGATGGATGAGATTTTTCTGTATCCAAAATCTGTACAAATGTATTCACACATTTCTCAGTGGATGCATTTCAAACATTTAATGTTTTTATATGCTATTGGCTAGAAAGTAACACTAAGGAGAGGATATTTAGAAAAACCAACAATACCACATTTAAATGTGCATTTTAAAACTCAATACACACAAAGGTATTCATTTAGAGCATTGTATAATTGACTATTTTTCACCTTGGGTGTGAATTTACCTGGTGGACATTTCAAAGCGGTCGTTGACTGAGCTGACTCTCCAGCCACTGGCCCCACACCTCTCCAGCTCTTGCTCCCAATCTGAGGTAGAATCAAACCAGTTCATGTGGGCGTCTCGGCGGCGGTTGCTTAGAAACTGCTTCATTTCTGCAGGAGGAAAGTGATTCAAACACTTCAACTGAGGTTTGTTTTTGAGATGCATAAGAATTGCAAATGTTGTTTTGATGCTAATGACACTTTTTTTGTTTCCAGCTTCTCCACTGTGAGAATTTCCTATTTTATATCACTGTTAACAACTTGTGGAAGACCAAGAGGGTTAAGGTACTAGATTAGTCCTATTCTTACATACTCTATGTGGTACAACTACCAGCAGCATGAACATACTAGTTTTTCTTTTGTTAGTTCACTATTTGCTGCAAATGAAAAGTTTAGTGGAATAGTAGAGTTTTATTCCAAACTCTGAATGCTACGCTCTCACAGCACAATGTTACATTTAATTATGGTGGCCTAATCTTTCCCAAACCGAGTTTTTAAATGAATGTCAGCTCTGGAAACCTTTACTGAGCCACTCTCTGAAACCACTGGAAAGACTTCCTCACATCTGGCAATGGTTTCAAAGACAGTATTTACAGTGTGTCATCACAAAAGAGAAGGTTTGTAATTTAGGGTTCCTTCCACCAGTCTTGAGTTAAAACATTATGCTGTGATGGTACAGTAGATGGTAGAAACAGAAACAAACAGATGAAACCGAGTTGAAGTCAAATGACAAACAGCGATCATAGTTTTATTCAGTTGCTGGTACCGGACTGGGTGAAAATCAAAGTAAGAACACCAGGAGAAAACGTTTAAGGCTTCAAAAAGCAAGCACAGCACATGACTACTGTAAATGGCAACACACACTGGGTGTGTCGAGTTGCGTCATGTAACACACATGGGGAGAAGTCAGTGCAGAACTACCGAAATGGGTGAGTATTTCAGTATTTCATTCTTTTGACATGTGTCGTTATAGGCAAATAGGACAATAGCATATCCTGTTTGCCGCAGTGTGGGCTTGCATTAAAAATAATGGCTGTGGGTATTTTGATGAGAGTCACGCTGCCAGTGTGCATTGCCCATAACACATCCATTCTGTGTTTCTGATTCACGAGGGTATCTGATTCTCACTTTCACAGAGCTGTTATTTCTGTGAATATTCATCACAGTGAAATAACAGAAAAAAAACCAACTCTCCCTCCAATTCTCAATCATTTTCATGTCACTAACGTCCAAACAGACACACGAGGCAACAGTGCCTAAAATAAAAATTACTTTCTAAGATCTCTCTACTTTATAGTATGCTGTATTGTTAGTTGGTGTGTAGAACTGCAGCATAACAGACTGACAGATAGACTAATAAGATATTATATCAGTGACAGGCACTGAATGGATGGCTGTGTACATTAATCTACTCACCTACACTCCCAAGGGCGGCATTCTGGAAAGACAGAACTGAGCCTGGTTTGAGAGGCTGGTAGGTCTTGGCGATGGTGTAGGTTATCTGAGGATGGAAACCATAGTGAGCACACCAACATGACACGTGTCATCATCTTTCAGCACCAGGGCCATAAAGCATCTAATCAGAAGTCAACAACACAGATCAGCTTCTCTGTGCTGTTAACCTTATGATGTACAGTACTGTATGTGAGGTAAGCAGAGCCTTGAATCTAAAAAATACACACACCCTGAGAGATGTAGTTGTAAATAAATATTCACCAAACCTGGCACAAATGTTAACAAGAAAGTATAAATCAGAATGCACTGTACAACAACATTAAAAAGACCAAAAATATTACTAGATTAAAATGTAGAAAAACTATAAGTGCATAATAACATAAAACTAAGTTTAATAAGAGGCACCTGAACTGCCTTATGTCCCGACAGTATCTTATCCTCAAGAAAGCAAATCAGTTTCACCTCATTAATATGCAAATGTATACAAACACAACAAAATCTAATCTGATCGTCTACTTTATATGATGTTTCTACTGTGTATAGCTGAATTATGGTGTTCACAAGAATGTGTCTGCAGAGTCAGAGTAGCAGAGTCACAGATGCCAGTACAATGATACAATGTCCCACATACTGTGTCCCATCAGTAGATGGACACATACCTCTATGACCTGTGGGTCAGGAGTGAGGCGGTCAAACAGGAAGCAGATGACTCGCATGTCCCTGCAGTAAAGCACTAGTTCCTCTGGAGTGAACTTCAGTGAGGAGTTTGGGGTCACTAGCTTGGTCCTGTTTGGGCCCACTGCAACACAGAGGGGAAAAGGTAGGAATTAAACACACAGATGGTCAAGAGCAAAAGAGATACTATACTCCATATATAGTGTACACTATGTAGTTTACTCAGTAGTGAACAGTAAACTCAGATTTCGGACACTTCATAATCGTCACCATTTTGTGCCTTTACTAAACAGGTGTAGAGTTGCTCAATGGTCACTTTCCCTCAGATAAATTCACATACTCAGCATTCGGACACCACTACATACAAAATGGTGAACACTATATAGCTTATAGTGTGTTATTTACGACACAGCCCCAGTTTTTTTTTTTCTTTAACTGTAGCATCAACAGTAGAATATTATACCAATCCAGCAGCAGGCCAAAACACGGAATACCATCTAAAAGCAATACTAGTCAGTGAATCTGTAGTTGTAGTATGACTTCAAATGCTTTTAATGGTTGCATGAGGTGGGCATGAGGTTTTACTTACCGACCACAACCTTCTCTATAGATGCCAAAGCCACGTCATGATCTCCTAAAAGCACCAGGTCTGCATTGTCCTGCAAAATTAACATTATTTACAGAGAACGTTTCAGTTCCAAGGTCCTGTCACCATAGATTTTACATTATGTGAAGTGCACTTTGTCATTTTCACAGTGTCATACTTTAAACAGATAACATGTTTTAAACAGATGATAACAACAACAACACTACTAATAATAACAGCAAATAAACTATGACAGAGTATAGCTATTTAGAGGGATAATAACAGCAAATAACCTATGACAGAGTATAGCTATTTAGAGGGACTCACGTCAGGATTGGGACTGTCTTGGGGCACAAAAACCACTCTGAAGTGAGTACAGTAGAGAGTTCCTGACAGCCAACCTCTTCCTTCCCTGGCAGTCAACTTCTTCCTCACCATAACAGCTCTCTGAAGTACACACTCACCTAGTGATGACAAAGGGAGATCTAGTACAGCGGTGCCAGGATGGATTTTATGGGTAACATTACTGTATGTATGTCAGGCACTGGGTATTAGCGGTTGTGCTTATCTAGTTATGACCGTTTACCCTTCATATCTTTGTAAAAATGTATAAATGAGTGTGTGTATAGTGGGGCTTCTGGAGAGGATACATAACAGGAAGTGTATAAATATAGAAACAACAAGTACAAAAGTTCACAAAGCTACTGGGGGTGGGTGTGATAAACACCCATAAACAAAAAAGGTAAATCCTCAGGTTGTTGCCAGGGTAGATGGCAGAGATGAGCAGGCAGAACACCAACTTGTAGATGACAGTAACTATTTGCTCTGGAATTACATTAGTTTGGTATGTTTTACTTACATAGGTTCATATGAGTGAAATGCCCAATTTACACAGCATTTGTCTAAATAGCAGCTAAAATCACCTAAATGACTACTTAAACCACAGCTCTGTGTTGTAGATTTTAAAAACAATTATTTTATGTGTATAGCACTTAATTCAGTGGATATTTTAGGACAGCCCTGTGACAGACTGGTGACCTGTCCAGGGTGTACCCTTCCCAATGTCAGCTGAGACTGGCTCCAGCTCCTCCATGACCCTATTCAGGAATAAGCAGTACAGATAATGGATGGATGGATGGATCATTTAAGAGAACATTATTAATGCATCATTGTATATATTATAAGGAGAAGCCAACAGGAGCCCAGTACATAGTATGTTCATTCAGCCAAGTGTAGGAAAGCTTCACGGTGAAGAAAACGAGCAGAAATTGTCTAAAGAAAATGCCACTCCGGGGAAAAACACTATCTGATATGTTGAAATGTGTACTTTACGTGTACAACACTTTATCAGTAATCTACTGCTACTAAGTGGTGTGTCCTCATCCTTGGGTAAATGATGAAAGTTGATGACACATCTGAAACTCCAGGACTAAGATTCCAAAACAAACCTTTCCACCCAGAAAAGTCTTGCCCGCAAACACAGATGTGGATAAACACAAACAAAAAATCTCCAAAATGCACACACACAGAAATGAGGCAAAGCTTCTGCCAACTAGACTGTGGGTTTCCATGGCAACAAAGTCTGATCCTGGGTAGAAGTAGAGGAAAATGGCCTTTTTATCTATGACAAGAGGAGTGTTTGGCCAGACACATGGCAAGAAAAAGGTTTTCATTTCACTCAAAAGGCCAAAAAGATGAGGAAACACTGCTGGTTCCTTGAGACTGAAAAACAAAAAAACAATCTGAAGAAACAAATTCCTTTTACTGCACATGTGGAAGGAAATGGCACAGCCCTTAAACTGAAAATGGAAGCAGATTTGGGCTGAGCCCAGTCTCTGCAGAATGTTCTTAGCTTAATAGGCTTTGGGGGGGACACCAAAGAAAACAGGAAACAACATTTTTACATATGAAACACTTGGTTATGCTGTGAGCAAAAAAAGAAGAAAAGCATTTGCTTCCAACACCATTGCATCAGGATTGTACAAGATGGGTGTATATCTTTCATGTGCTCACTGCTTAGCTTCTACCTCCACTCAGCAGGACTTGGCTACGCATGAACTAGCTGCAGAGATTTAACACAAAGTGAACCGTTACTGAGAGCTTGTCTTTCAAAAGGGCAATCTGTGGCTTTGTGTGCCTCATTTTAATGCCTGACCAGAGGGCAAGTGAGGCAAAAACATTTCTGTGGCCTGTAGATTTGAGACCCAAAGGAGCGAGGGGGAAAAAGGCAGAGAACAGAGGCCCATGGCCCCTGTTTGCACTCTGGTGAGGGTTAAGAAGTTAATATAAGCAGGTGTTCAGCTCAGCAAAAGTGAGCTGCACACATGAAGGTGTTTACAAGACAGACGTCCTTTAATCGAATAAAACCTTTCATGTTGTTCCTGGAGAGCTGCAGACACACTGCAACAATGTATTATTGACACAGTATTTGTGCACTTGCAGTGCCGTTCACATTGATTAAGGTCCCACTATTTAATCTTTTATATTAAAATAAGAATAAATAAAAAATCTGGTTAAGTATATTATAAGGTTGCCTGTGACCCTGTGTACATATGCCACTGATGTTTGGGTCACTTTGGAACATCTGTTTGGTACATGCCTTTTTCTGGATCATAACTACTAAGAAAACAAACAGCAGTGGTAGAAAGCAAACAGGCACAGAAGAACAATTGAATGTCTATGCAGCAGACAAAAGTGACTGAAGGCCATGATGGTTGATTTCAGGTTTCCTGTTTGCTGACGAGTCGCCAGGGTCGGTGGCAGTCTTACAGATGCCAGTTACATCAGCGCCTGACCGTATTATAGACAGGAACAGAAAAGTAAAACCAGCCAGAGACACTGTGCCTCAAGGCAAAAAGCTGTCGAACACATGGCTTTATTATACTGAAATCTAGCATTTCTGGAATTTTTATCTATTTTTAAACAGTGAGGTCCCACATGCAGCCACAGTGGGAGGCTAGACTGACAGTACCAGGTCCAATTCATATAAGAATAGAGGAAATCAATTCAGTTCAGGTGTTTGACTGAAGGAGTTCAAACATATGTTTTGTTGTGTTCTCCTTAGACAAATTTTAGGTGTGGTTTCATATTGGCACGGTATTAAAGCACATAAAGTTCTTGCAGTAGATACATACACAGTCATTTCAGCTATGTAGGTTTAAATTCAAGTTCCCCCTTTAATGTTTCAGCTGCTTCTGGTGATTTTGTGGTCACTGACTTGGATATGTGAAAAGAGCGAACTAAAGGATCAGCCTGAGCAAATACAGCTGAGAGACAGATGAACCACATGCTCTTGGCTTCCAGTTTGTTTGTTTTCATCCACATTTGTTCCGACGTTTCAGCTGGGATGCATGGTATGCAAAACCAGCTGGGAGGAACACTAAAGACCAGGAACAGGTTGTGTTAAGTTAAATCTGGGGATTCAGAGCCATCAGCGTTGAGTCAATACCACTGACTCTGTAGGAGCTGAAGGAGACTTCTGTATAAATGACAACAAAAAGGTTTCTCTGTGTTGGTACTATCCGACAAAGCACGACATGCCAGAGATTTGCTCTGGTAAGAAACAACAGTACAGAGAACCAAAACCCACCAACTTTCAAGTGATGCAACATCCACAAATAGTGACAAGTTTCAAACAACACAGACATGAAAATCTGAACATTAACAATATAAAGCAATTTATCTCCAGACATACTGATCATCAGAAAATCATTTTTATCCAGTAATACACTGCAAAGTATCCATTCAAAGTCACACAAACAAAGAATTTAAATCCTTTTTCAATGTCAAAATGGAAACCTAAATATGCAAATATCAAAGCTCTGGTCTCTTGTCCATCAGTCAACAAACTAAAAAGGTTATTGACAACCTTTAAATCACACAGTAACATAAGACTGTGGAGAAAGGGGACTGAAACTCTGAAGGGGTCCTGGTCTCTTGGTATTGTGTGTGAATGGACAGTATACCCCCTCCCCCACTTGCAGAATTGAAAAGGTACATGATCTACCTGGGCTGTTGGAGCTATGCTGACCTGTTTGCCCTCCCACAGGCCAGCTCGGTTTCTGCAGTCCTGCATCCCGATGTCACATGAGAATGCTGTGGTTGCTGAGCGTGGCCTGTTTACTACTGACAGAATGGGAAAGATTCTGCAAACGTACTTCTGAATCTGTAGCCAACATGGTTGCTCTCAACTTGTCAGTGCACCTAGTTTGAGACACCACACATTCAAGGCACTTTTTTTTTTTAACACAACAACCAAAGTTGCTGCTTTGAGCATGAAAGCAAACCTGTTCTCGCAAACTGTCGCAGCACTTACTCTGCAGAGAGTGCACACAGCTCACATGGTAGATTTCCCAGCCTGAAATCTAAATCTGCTTTTGAAGAAAAACAAAAATCACAAGGCTACATTTCCAGCAGACTAATATAGTAAGCCATTTTATATAACAAAGCAGCAAATATAGCTCTCAATGGAAAAATATCTGTTCTTAAAAAGCACAACAGTACAGCAAACACACATCTGTCTACTACTCTCTTAATATGAGACAGGTTCTCATGGACAGCTGTGTTTCTAATCAGCCTGGAAAGAAAGTGGAGAAAGAAAGAGGTAAAAGAACAGTAAGATGCTGATGTTTAAAGCCAGCAGGGGGAAAAAAAATCATAAAGAAAATCCGACATTTTACAGAGAAATGTTAAGAGCTAAGAATAGGACCTCTGTATGTGTTGTCAAGGACCAGTAGAGTCTGGAAGGTTTCTGATGAAAACATTGCTGCAAAACAAATTAGAATGACTATGTGAATGAAACAAGGAAGGAAGTGTGTATGCATGCATGAAAATGTGTGGAGGTGAAAATGTGCATCTGTCTGTATGAAAGGTCAGTGGGAGCCCACAAGCTTCCATTGTATGTCAATACAAAAACACAGAAATAATAAAACAATTCAGCTTTATTAAACAAAATGCATAAACAGAAAAAAATTTTCAAGATAAAAATGAGGTAAGAGAAAGATGACAAAGAGAGACAAAGATGAATAGGACAGGCACAAGTGTGTGTTTGTGAGGTTAAACTGAAAGAAGAATCCACATTTACTCAATCTGCTATGATGGAGTGCTGTGAGTTAACTGCTAATATGCCAAAGTTAAAGACTTGCCTATCTCAGATCTAGGGGCTATCGTCTAAGGCCATTCTTTTGAAAAGCTCCTGCAGGGTGTCACCAACAGAATATGAGCAGGTTAGATGAGGGAAAGAACCTACACCTCCCCAATCAGTGATTTTCTGTGGCCCTGGACTATGCAGCAAATTAGCCTATCACCTGGGTTAAGAGGGCTGACCTCTGATTAACCTACCTGGCTAAACTCTCTCTCTCTCTCTCTCTCTCTCTCTCTCTCTCTCTCTCTCTCTCTCTCTCTCTCTCTCTCTCTCTCTCCCTCCCTCTCTCTCTCCCTCTCTCTCTCCCTCTCTCTCCCTCTCTCTCCAGCAGGGGTTTTAACAGCTGAGAGAAAAGCAAAAGTGATTCCAGGGCTTCCAAGAAGGATATGATTCTATCTGACACATGGAGGGGGGCTTAGGGGCATCTTGTCACAACAGATGGATTTCTAAACAAAATGTTTAGCATAAAGGAGTAATCCAGTCACAGCTAAAGGAGCAAGACAATCAATATATCACCCATAGCTCATCTTGGAGACACTTTGGAGCACAATTCTTTTACACCAAATGAATAAAGGAATACAGACAGCCTACTTCAGGAATACAGTGAACACACAATGCTGAATGCTTCTGCGCAACACAGTCACCTTGCTTTGCAATGGTTACAACATGAAAAGGGTTCAAGTCAGCTGTATATATGAACTACAGTATAATAAGTCCTATCGCTATACAGACTGCTGTATATACACACACTACAGCAAGTGCTGCAATACCTCACCTTTATTCACATGACAAAAAACAAAAATGTGGCTGCACTACTCTGTGTGACAAGTTGTACCTCATCACTCATGTCACAACTGTTTTAGGCAACAGGGATTTATTTATATTGTCCTCAGTGCTTCAAAGGGTACTGATTTACATCTGAAAAAGTAAAAACACTGGCTGGGGAGGTTTTTTTTTTTTTTTTTTTGCTGACATTTGAGAACATTTCATCATGTAATAAAGCTGCAAGATTGTGCAATGAGGCCCTCAGTCTCCTTTTGCATGTTCAGTGGCAGTTTTTCTTAACTGAAGTGTGTTATTATTGGTTGTGATACCAAACAGTTTATTGTTAATACTGCCCTGTATTTATATAGCAAATGCAAGATGTGCAGAGCTGTCACAAGCACAATAGAGAATGTTGTAGCAATGCTACAGTATGAACTGATATATTGTTCATGGTAATAACTATACCACTGATATAATAATTTAAAAAGCTTTATACATCGCTACAAAAATGAGCTCCTAAAGGCGTAATCTTACCTGGTAGGCAGCGTAATCCAAACACATCTCGACTCTGTGCGTTCAGCCCACTCTGATTCAGCATCCTCTCCTGAAATAGAAACACAGCTGACATTAACGTCCGTCTTGTTTCCAAAGCAACTTTTTACTCATCACTGTAACAGACAGGGGGTGTGTCCTATGCATAAAGCAATGGTTTGACATAGGAACAAGCTTATTAGTTTTAGTCGTTGTTGTGAATTATATGAGAAGATTAATACCACTAAATTGTCTGTCATTAAATATCAAGCTAGCATAAGCAGGTGGTTAGCTTATCTTAGCATAAATACTGGAAACAAGGGTGGGGGGGGGACAGCTAAGACGGCTCTTCCCAGACAGAAAGAATCTGATTATTAGCACCTCTAAAGCTCACTGGCTAATAACCAAGAGCCTAGCTAAAAGTCCTGAATAATGATGTTCATTTGAAAGGAATATTTTTAAACTAGGCCACACATATCAAATTAATTACACAAGAAAAATAACAGCCTCAACAGCATGGACAGAGCCTCGTGTCACTTTGGTTATAATTAAATGATGGTTCTTCCTGCATCTCTCCTCAAAGTCTGCCTTGTCTCAGGGGACTCATTTTCAAAAACAAGAAAATAAAACTAGCCAGACAGTGCTCTGAGTCCTAGTTTCCATGCTGCTGTTCTGTTTGTTCCTGCTTGTTCCTGCTTTCTCTATAGTCATGACGTCTTGCATGCATACTTGAGTCTGTTCTACAAGTACAATCCAACCTCACAGTGCCACAGAGGCTTCCATAACCAGACCGTGAGATTACTAGCACATATGCTTCCACTTAACTTTGCTACTAACCCCCACCCTGTGAAGACCATTTACATTTATAGGCTAGAAATCCCATAATATAACAATCCCAGCAACTTGAGAGGACGATATGATTATACAGGTGGTGACAAAGCTTTAGAAGAGTTTCAAACATCTTTCTCAGCAGTTCTGACTGAGGTTGGCTCACAATGAAACTATTAATCATAATTTCATTTAAGGAAACTGCTTCATCATGAAACACCAGTATTCTTTCAATGTCGTGCTAACAATTCTAGCAGTGTAGTGAATTCTGAGTTAGCAACCTGCTCATGAACCTGAGAGTCTAAGCTTGTGGCCTTCCATAAAAAAATACAGGGAACATTAAACACAGAGGACTTTTGCTTGTTGAAAAGGCAGTAAAATCACACTTTTTCATAGCTGGTTGTTTTCATTGCATGTGAGAGCATCTGCAGAGCCTGCTGTTTGCTGCCGACGCTACCATTTTTTCAGATATGTCAAGTTTTTAGGTCATAGTTTTTTATATAGTAATGTATCATATATATGAAGCAAGGCATACAGTTTATTTTAACATGTTAACTAAGAACTTTTCCACTTTTCTAAAAGATGAACAGTAGAATATTAGGTTAGCTGTTAAAAAAATGAAGAAAACAATACTAATATGCTAATTAATTAAACCCGAACTAATAAACACATTAATGAAAACAAAGAATGGTTTTAATTAAAACCATTTAATTGAACACCAAGTAATGTTATGTGGCCAAGTTTGCTCTAGTGCTATAAAATGATTCCAAGCTTCCAACTAAAGTCTTTAATAAAACTAAGGAATTAGCCAATAGCATGAGTTCTCTATGACAAATGGTCTCCATGGCCTTCAAGTTATGGTTATAGTTCCAACCATTTTATTGACCAAATTAGTTAAATGTTAGAAGGTTCTGCTGGTGAAAAACAAGTTTACATATATTATATATATATACACGCTTACACACATACAGCAGGACACTCAAATTTTACAAGACTTAGTTTCTGCCAGAAAACGACGTTGTCTCTGTATCAACACCCACAGAAAAGCCAAAACTGAATTCCTTATCCCGTTTCAAGCACACACACGTCTATTCTGACCTTGTTTTGTTACATTTCATGAGTCTAGTGCGTTATATCTGTCCTCTGGAGGTTGTCAAGACTGACAAATGAGTGCCTTAGAGTCTTGTGAGGCAAGGGACTCTTAACAGATAACAGCGTAACACAGAAGCTGGAGTACTACTGATACTCAGCTGCAGACTAAGCAAAGTATATAATGTGTGATACGAGTGGTGCTCCCTTGGTTAAACTATTAAAAATTAGACTCATGGATATAGAAAATGTGATGGTTTAAAACAATCTACAGAAAATGGATTATATATGTGAAATGCACCAGGTTTTGCACTCCAGAGTTAAAACAGGCAACAGAGATAAGGGAAATGGCTATGACATAATGTACTGTATGCCTTCTAGTCTGATGTTAACACCATACTGTCAGTGCTGTGTTTTTGCTGACATTTCACTTTCGTCTTTAGCATCCCCACTATAATCACTTACATTTTCTTCTTTCTCTCCCATGCTGCGTCTTTGCCCCACATATGCCCCCCTCTGCCCCCACCCTTCATCCTCAGGGACAGTGGCCAAGGCTAACTACAGTTTCCATTGCTCATGGCTTCCCCTTGCTCCTGCAGCCAGACTTGTGCAGTAAGCGTGTCTTGAACATACCTTCTCCAAACGAGAGGCAAAACACACAAGGGAAGATGACAAACTGAACTGCTGGTAGGACACTGGAGTAAGATTAATTTCCTACTGCTTCTTAATACCCTACAATTAAATCTATCATGTCTTAGAATGACAAGTTTCTGATGCTCTGACCTCTTCTGACAAAACTCTGTACCAGCAAGCTGAGCCACATCTTAAGAGCAGAACCGTTTAAAGGAAATAATTTTCAATTGAAAACAAGCCTCAACACAAAACAAGGACACTTTTTTTTACGTGACATTACAACACACATCATGGACCCTAAGCATCTGTTGTCAGGACAAACAATTGTGATTGTCTTTTTAAAGCTACTGCTGAGACATGCTGTGCTTTGGGGATGTAGCCTCTTTCCACTGAAATGAATGAGATCATGACCTGTTTGTTTGTTCTGTGCTTGTCATTTCCTCACAAGTGGGGACTGTCATATGGCATTGTGAATTGGCTTGGAAGGAAAATAAGGATATGTAGTTCTATATGTACACATATATGTATATGTAGTAGTTCTGCTACTACATATTACTAGTTCTGCTAGTAGTATGTTCCTAATATTCAGATCCTCTCATGTGTGTAGCTGAGGAGGACAAAAATATAGACACCTCTGAATATAATATAGTCAAGTATAGCCCTACCTTTAACTATGACCTCAGCAATAAACATATAATTGAGTTTATACATTTATGACAATTTCACCAAAAACTGAAACACTCTGAGCTTAACAAATGTCAAGATGGAAGTGCATACAATTGTACAGGTGTACCTAAAGTGGCTGGTGAATGTATGCATCATACTATAGTGAATATTCAGCTTTGAACCCCTTCCTCTGGAAAAGTGAGCAGGAATTAGCACAGCACAACATTTTATTTTGAAAGCTTCCCTCATGAATGCCTGGCAGCAAGGGAAGACATTACAGCATTGTCTGCATTCTCATCCATTCTTCATTATGACGCCATCAGTCTAGACCTAAAATGCTCAATAAAGATATAATCACTGGCTTTATTAATGATGTCTCTGTTGAATTATTTGCAATTCATTGTGTCATAGAATAAAACAGATGCTGATGATACAATATAAGGTCAGTACAGAAAGACTCAAAGGGCATCTGTATCCACATAAAACAACTGCTTACCATATTAAGATCAAGTACTTTCAGTAGCCTACTACCAGGCTAGCATCTCTGTCTGGCTGGGCTAAATGCTAACATGTTTAGCAGGTATAATTCTACCATGTTCCTTATCACACAGCATGTTAGCATGCTAACAGTTGCTACTTACCGTGTTCCTTATCACATTAAGCATGTTAGCATGCTAACAGTTGCTACTAGGTGCCAAACACAAAGTATACCTGAAGTTGAAGGGAATGTCAATTGTTCACGTATTTGTTCAAACAAAAATTGATGACATATTAGAGGATCCCATATCTAATAGTTATTAAGAAATTTCACTCAAAACCACAAACATCAACCTTGTGGTGGTCAGTAGGATTCATCCTCTGTTTACCAAGGATATGTCTACCAAATCCCATGGCTATCCATTGATTAGTTGTTGAGATATTAAGCAAAACAGACAACCGACTGACCTTCGTTCTTATCGTTAGAGTTGAAATGTTAGTCACCTCTGACATCTAAGCTCTCAGGAGTAAAATTATCAGAGCTATTCCATACACTTAAAACAGACAAAGAGCCTAACCTCTTAAGACCCAGCCCTTTGGTTAGTGAATAGCACCAGTGGCTCATTATCACCCAATGCCAGATCGATACACCCTCCAGTGGGACCATGAATCTCTTCTGGTGTTAAGAAGAGCCCATTGTGCTGTGCTCTGTAGCAGTAGAAGCTTCAGTAGTTTCATGGATGGCAGTGAATGTGATGTCTGGGTCCTATGGGAATGGGTGTGAGTGACTGCACTGTTTTGGCCCACTCCTATCAGGCTTGGATCTTCAGCTACTCTGAACAGAACTTAGATAATCCCCCCTCTGGCATTTTTGCTTCTGAGAAGCTTTATGCAGTGTGCCTTTTATGCTGACTGATCAAAAGCTGGCTGGGAGATACAGATGGAGTCAAATCAACAGGACAGATATAGTCTGAATAGGCCTTCTGTCCTGTCAAGATGCAGGCCTGAGCATCTTTATGCAGAATGTATGACCCACGGTTGCACTCTGGTTTGTCATTCCTCATGCAAAAATACCAAACATCTCCTAGTTGACGGTTCTCGAATATGATGATTTGATTTTCTTTGTGTCTTGAGATTGTTAACATCTCTTTATATATTTTTCACAAATGTTACTTTTTAGAAAATAATCGAATAATCAAGAAAGCAATCTGCAACTGAAATTACAGGTTAATAAAAATATTTATCTGTTTCAGCCAACTGACTAGATGAAGGACATGGCAACTCCCCAGAAGTGAAGCGGCCACAAATCGATCACCCCCTGGTGGCTGGCCTCAGTATAGATCATAAACTCTGCCCCCTCCATGTTAGCGAATGGGATATGAGCCAAACAAAAAATTCAAAGAACAAATCAAATGGATTTTTCCCCAGAGGTGGTTTCTGTCATTTCAGGTACCTATAATCACAGAGATTTGTGTGAAAGTTATTTGATTAAAATGGGTATATTTCGGATGATATGACTGCTTTGATTGGCGGCCTGACTGCTTGGCTCCACTTCTGGTCGGTACTGTGCAGAATCTGATTGCAAAATGCGTTAAGAAAAAAAAGAAAAAGACAGCTACCACCATAGTCACGATATTTTGCATATTGGCAGCAAGTGGTGAAGTTTTGTCCCTATGTTCCAACCTTATATTTTTTGCCTTCCAAAATGGCCTGGGTGGCATAAACACAGTGATTAAAGAAGAGCAGATTAACCAGTAAAAGCAAACTGCAAAACCATCTGGTCCAACTCCACCTTAGGATTGGATTCAGTTTTCTAAAGAAGTCTTAACACATGCTCATGTATGTGAAACCCACAAGAGTGTGTGGGTGGCCAGTGCATAAATTCTACCCAGCCTACTATGTCATATTATCATATTTAAGTCTCAGCCACATTCTCATACTTGGACACATGCGATTCAAATGGTGGGGGGCAGTGACAATTTCTGCAAATCTCATTCTGAGGTAAGCGAATTCAAAACCCCTGTACCTCGCCACTGCTGTCTCCATAGCGACAGCCAGATGTTGTGCTCTGCACGTCACCCCCACATGCAAGCCTCGCCCAAGAGCAGAGTAAAGAGGCATCTGTTACCATTTCCCCCGGCAGCTGCTAAAAATATCCAAGGAGGAGAGACACAAAGACTGTGCCCACAGACTGTTCCCAAAGGAACAAGCAACTCCAAACACATTCCTACTGTGTGTGTACACATTTCTTTGTGCTGCCTATCAAATTAATTTGCCACCATAGCCTCTCAGGTGCTCCTAACCAGAGACAGCATCTGACTGATTTCACCCTGAAAACAGTCCTTTGCAACATTGTATGACTTTTAAATATTTTTTGGCAATTAGAGGCAGCTGAAACTGGCTACAACTGTTCAGTTCACGGTAGTCTGTGTGTGCAATTTAAGTCAGTGTACAACAACTGAATCCCATATAAGGCAAACCCTTTGCCATGAGAAGTGATTACAATTCACTGGCCCTTCATAAGACAAACAGCCATTACATTATGTTCTCTTACAGTAATCAAGCACAGTCCACCTTCACACACTGAGCAGCCTCTGGGAGGGATTTCTGAGGAGGGGCCACGGGTTTCTAGTCCAGCCAGGCTGCAAACTACCTGGCTGTACATTTATAGCTCAGCCCCGTGAATGGTGGCCAGTGTTTCCTGCCTGCTTCTTGCTCTCTCTGGTCTTTATGGGGAGTGCTGATGAGTCAGTGACAGCTCAGAGAAAGCAAAATTAGTTGATGCTGCGAGATCAATTTAAAGAACTCAACCTCCTCTTCTGGAAATTATATAAGGGTAACTACAATCTTCATACTGATACTGCATATTTTTAATAAAGTCCCTTAAAAGAGAGAATGAAAAAATGTCAAGGGGTCAAGTGATCGAAAGATGTACAAACAGGAAAACTATCTTAGCTGCATTTTTATAGCCAAAACTGACATCTGTAAAGTATTATAAGTAGAAATACCAATAGCATTTAACTTAACGTTCATCACGTTAAGTTACACTGTCACTTAGGAGCTCAGTCTTTACATTTATGCGAGAAAATAAAACGGAATCAACCAATTTATCTTAACCTAGTAAGTTACTGTTACCAGGGCTTCGTTCAGCAGAGGTAGTTAGCTTACCTTGATATCTGGGAGCATTTGTCTCACTTTGAATGTGGTTTTAGATCCTGTTAACATTTTTAACGACAACAGAGAAAATGCGAGCCCACGAATTAAAAAAGAAAAGTGTTATTATATGCTAACCGTCGCTGGGTTAGCGGTCACCTCTCTCCATTTTTAGCCGAGAAACCCGTTGAAAAGCGCTGAAAGGTCTGGTGCGTCCACCGACGGCTAGCCTGTATCACCGGCTGCTAAAACTGAGGTGTTCAGCGTGAACAAACAAACTATTCTCGCTCTTTTCATCACTGTTGGCACTGACAGCATCCGTGTCGCGACCGCACATACAAACAAACACAACCAGAGCACACCTTGCAAAAACCACTCACTGAACTATCCCTAAGTGGTGTTACGGTTAACGGAGAGATGCGTTCACCGTCACTGCTGCTTTGCTAGCCATGACGTTCTATTTGTTTATTCCTTCGCCATAGTGAAACTCACACTGGCGAAAAAAAGCCAAGTGCAGCAGTGGAGCTCCTTAAAGGGCCAGTATACGTGGACTCTGAAACAGCATGTGACCTTGAGAGTCCCAGACTGACAATAAAAGTCCTCCACAAAGTTTTATTGTACTCACTATACTTTACAGTAGAGACGGAAGGAGAAAAGATTTCAGTTTTCCCCGCTTTCACTTAACCCCTCGAACTCAACATAGCTGAAGCTGGCACATAGAAGAACTGTGTAAAAATGCTCTGTTCTGCGTTCAAATAAATTATTGTCGGCAAAAGTAAATATAAAATGCAAAAACACTCATTATGGCCTACTATTTTTTAGGAGAGGAGGGGTCTTTTACATCCAGTAGGCATTTTATTACTGTTTTTCTAAATCATCAAATGACAACGCACAGTACATCCTGTACACACAATTTGTTTTTATCAGTACTGTTGTTTTTAAACCGACTGTTTTATCCAGCAGCTGTAGATACCCTATATCTGTGACATTCTTATCTGTACAGTAGGTAACAGTGTTTTCAGTATCTGTATGGTCCCTGTTAATAAGATAAACCATTATTAGTCCCATGAGAGACAAACTCACATTGTTACAGTGCAAAGGGATAGAAACAAGACAACTGTAGTGCAATTACAGTACTCTAAAACAACATTTATATATCTCTACTACTGAATTATTTTCAAATGAAACTGTCATGTTGCTGTCCTTTCTTTTGGCAGATCTTTTCATATAATTGTGCTTGTTGTTTACCCACCTATCTGTTTGCTTAAGGTTGTGCAAATAAAAGTAGACATTGGTCTCTAGTGCTCATTGATGACCTGTTTGGCTTTGAACAACATCTAAGGAAACAGCTTTTGTTATGCACACAGTTAATCAAATGAAAAAAAAAACAGATTTGTTTTTCATAGTGACTGCTTTGTCTTTGTATTCAAGGAACTTTGCTTTTGGATGTTTACATCAAAGCAGCTAACAGCCATACAACTATTCAACACAATAATCCTGTTAAAATACCAGTACCTTTTTCAGATCCCTTAGCAGGCCTGTGTGGGGACTGGCTCCTTTTCTCTCCCATTCAAACCTGTGGAAGGAAACCACCAGTAACTCTCTCTCAGAGAAACACAGGAGGCAGATTCAGACAAAATTCCTTTCCAGCAAAGACTGAATATTCTAGAGCAACAGTGTACTGCTGAACAGTTGGGGAGACTGTGTCCTTGTGATCCATAATAGAGAGAGGTCTGGATTTTTTTTTTTTTACCACATGGGAAACTGTTCAATATTACATAAGGGTCTCCAGTTTCTTTAATACATAAAACAGTCCCAGACACAGGACCTTGAATCATCTGAGCTGGAGTTATTCAACTATGTATTGTATAATGCAACAAGATTAGGAGACTACAGAATGGCACAGATATCAAAATACTATGAATAAAAAATGTGGTTAACCTCTTATTTTTCTCTTATCTATTGAATCTATCTCTATTTGACTTAAATGTTGTCAAGTTTTGTTTTTTTTTATGTCTGTGCAGCACCACACGTGGTTTCTGGTGATTTTGCCCAGTTAGAGAAAAGTCTCACAACAGCACCACCCCCACCCCCTAAAACCTTAAAGTTTTATAACATTCCATCGTGGAATTCACAATGAGGCTCAAAGACCTGATGTGTATTGCAACCCTTTACAGAGGTTCATTGAACTTTCTTGAGGGAAAACTCTGTTAAACTACATATTGTTTATAGCAGAGTACTTTTTATATGCAAATATAAATATTAAAATGTCTCTGGAAAGGATCTTTGAGTTTAAGGAAAGCCTTCAGCCTTCAGGACCGCAATAAGGGTAGGGTAAGACTTTAGTGATCCCACAATGGGGAAATTCAGTGTTCCAGCAGCATTAGAGAGTAATAATCAGAGCTACTTTAATTTTGTTTGGTCTATAAAATGTCTGAAAAACATTAAAGGTGATACCTTCAAATTGTTTGGCTGTTTTATTTAGTTTATCTACACCTAAAACAATGAGATGCAGCAAAGTCTCATAATTTTATAAGCTGGAACCAGGTAATATGCCTTTTATGCTTGAAAAGTTACCTAATTTATTAATTTGTCAACAATCAAAATCAGTTCTAACTCCAACATATTTCACACATTCAAGGTCTTGCTGAAGAAGTACTGTACATTTAAAATGTCTAAAAACATCTTTGTCACTGTCTGTATAACCTTCAATCATAGTATTATGGAATTAATTCCCTATCAGTTATTATGCCGTTGCAGCTTTGATGACTCAGGAACTGGCATGTACATCCCCCCCCCAAAATGAAACGCAAAAGTGAGAAGAAGAGCATTGTTGAAATACAATGGGAATTTATTCAAATGGTGCAAAAAAGTAATAATTATTATAATAATAATAACCTAACATAAAATCTGATGTTCTTTCTATCCAGATTGCACTGTGACACAGCCTTCGGGGTCTTCTCTCAAAACAAAAACAAATGAAAACATTAAAAATAAAAATAAAAACAGATCAAAATACCAGGACAACTGAACTCAAGTTAAAATAATGCACAAATTTGGTAAAATGGTTTGCCATTTACATGCAACAGTTCCAGTCCCATGCAGTTCGAAGTATTCCGTGTTGATGTCACTGATGATGAGTATTCTGTTCCCACAGAAATGAGAGCGTTGTACAATATATAAAAATATAACAGGTCAGTTGTGCTGCAAAACTAAATCCGAGCCATTTCTCTTCCAGTGTGGAGGAAACAGGCTGGGTTAACAGGAACATGACTGTCATGTTTTAGCATAGCACAGTTTGGTGGCTAGCCACATGAGAGAGAACATCCTAAATCATTTCAACTAAACATTCCACAAGGAAACCTATTAAAAAACACACTATAAATATATATTCTCAAATGGTATCTTGTTAGGTCAGCAATGAGGAAATTAGTTTGCAGTGAAAGAGCCTCGAGCAACAAGAGGCCCATCTGGGAGTCGCCTTTGACTGCCAAAATGTCACTTTCTGGTAAACACCAATCCAGACTCTTACATGCTGATCACCCATACCTGTTTTAGTGTCCAACAATATACATTCTTTAGAAACACTGTAAAAGTTTGGGCTTACAAAAATAACTTGGAACATATCTATACAACCTCGCAATGTTTTTAATTCCTTAAATACAAAAAAGTGTTTGTAGTCTGTAAAGTCTGATGTTTTTGCAAAAAATAATAAAATAAAATAATGATTTTCTGAGCTAATTATTACTTTGGAGGGAGGGAAAGGTATGCACACATACACATTATGGTAACAGGCATCACCATCCCACAATTATGAAACTAAGGATGGGTCTCGTCTGTGCAAGGACACATGTCAGCACACAAACACATCAAATACAAATATTCTTTTTTGGGAAATAGCATTGTTTATGTGTTTTATTTTATTCATTTAAAATACTATTGTCTTTAAATGCACAGCAAAAAGACTCCCTATGGTCAAACAGCATCTGCAATGTTGGATATTTCTATAATATAGTGTAACATAGTGTTAAAGTAGCACTAGTGAAAATTACTACCCACAGTCGTGGTTATTTTTCTTTGTAGTTGAGGTGCAAAGGGTGTGAGGACCAACTCCAAATACTGAGTTTAAAGAAAAACAAAACAAGGGTGCCATCAACTGGGCAAGCCAGTGAAATGCAAACTAAATTTAACAGACACAGTCAACAAGAGCAGAGCAACTAATGTCACCACCTCAATGAAATTCCTCACTTATTATAGGGGATGTAAAAAGCAATTTAATTATTTAAGGATTCATTCTGACATATAACTGAAACAGCACTGAAATTATGAAAAAAAAAACTTACAGAACGTCAGCCAGTATTACTAGCTGATACTATAATTTTTTTCTCAATAGCTTCAACACAAATGAAAACAATATTACCAATATGGTGAATTTGGGGGGGCAGTAATAGTCAAAGCTGCAGGCAATAAATCAGGCAGTGGAACCTTGATGTTCACCATGCACAAAAGTCTGCGACGCCACAAAGACAAATGCTGAAAAAGTCAACTAAGAAACAGTTACATGGTGACGCTGGCACTGAACCCTTTAATGAAACCCTTCAGGCCTGTGCCCCTGACGAACAGAGGTGGCAGTGTCTGCAGAGATGAACAAAGCACAACTGTCAGGCCACGCATTGCATCGACGAACATCAGGAAAGTGCTTGAATTTGTGCAAAAACGGCTTATGCGACTGCTTTTAGTGAAACAAATGCCATGAACTGGGAAACCACTTTCAGTAGAACTCTAAAACTTGCAGTCGGCGATGAATCGTTGAGCATTAAAGGCAAGGCTGGCAATTCCTTTCAGAAGTATTTTTTGTTCTATTTCTTGAATTTCTCTTTTCATCATGATGGCAATAAACACTGACAACATTAAAAAAAAATCTATCATCTGTGGCAGCAGCAGCAGTGAAAAAAGCCTGAACAGTAAGTGAGCTATGGCAGAGAAGGTACCCACAGCAGTTTTTGGTTGCCAGCAGAGACCGTTATTTTAGAAAGTTACAACAAAAAAGTCAGATGCCGTAAGAAATTAACATTGGTGTGGCTTTTGAACTATGACAGCAATTAAGAGAACAAAAGGGGCTGATGCCATGGTGGCTGTATTTCTGCTAGACAGGTAGGTAATTATCATTTTTGATTTGTTCGGGAGCCATTTGTTATTTTCCTGACATCTGAAAATAGTCAGGCAATGTGTGTTGTGTTTTGGAGAAGTGGCTTTGGAGAAAGGTCATCCAGGATCACCGAAACTTCTTCGACTGGCTCCTTTGAAAAATCAAGCTTTCTCTTGCTGGTTTTTCCAGGATCACCAATCCTACCGTTAAGATGTCTCTTAGGACACCATGGATTGACTTCAAAGTTAACCTTTTGTGTAAAACACACTCCTTAAACACCAAAACAGGGACTTTCAGAACCATAACTTTCATTTCATTACAATGTGTATGCTACTGAGTATCAACATCCAACAGGAGTGCATGCATCAGTTTGCATCATGCGAACAGAAAAATGGGACAACTGACAACTGCAGACATCTTTACTGCTTTAGAGCAAGTTTATGTTGTTTAACAACAGATCTGTTAATTTACTCTACAGAGAAACTAACCTGTGTGAGATACACAAAAATATGTTTAGTGTTTTAATGGCATGATATGCATGTGGCAGGTACTGTATCTGCAAAACCGGCTGTGCTGGATGGGACTTTTGTTGTGTGCAGTATTGCATCCACAATGATCTAATGCCAAACAATTATTGTTACAGAAAGAGGAAGACCCAACTAAGAGAGAGAAATATTCAAACAAACAAGTGAAATACTCTGGAACATTATCTTACCATAGTCCCATGGTGCCATCTCGGCTTTGTTCTACAATGCCTGGTTGATCAGGTTGACATCTCCATAACCAAATGTATAGATATCTGAACTGAACAAAAATGTAGAATTTTTAAGTGATAATGGTTTTGCCAGAAATTTAATACCAACAGTGCAGAGCACATGTATTAAAATCATGGACATTTGTGTGTTTGCATTCTGGAACATTAGCACCACAGCAGACGACAGAACGGTTAAACCATTAGCACCGTTTCAATTTGCATTACGCAAACGGCGACCAACGAAAGAGCCATGTGACGAGAATTAACTCTGCTGTTTCCCAATGCATATATAATGCAAGAACCTAGTAACAGTAGTGTAAAATCTGTATAACACTGAAATCACTGTAACCGAATGTGACGTCCCTAAAAATGAAACAGTCCACAGACCACAGCTGAAGTGGAGCCACTTGTTGTGCTTGTATTACTAAGTGTAGTAGTGTGTCTGACTTAGTGTTTGTGTGCATGTGCTAAATGTGTACTCATGAGTGTCGTGTGTGGTGCCTGCCATATACATTCTCTCCACTAGAAGGAGACGGTAGCAAGGCATTAAACTCCAATAAAGGAGGAGAGCCTGTGTGTGCACGCACACACACACACAGATACACAACACCTGCATTGGGGCCACAGCAAAAAGTAACAGAAGTGCAGTTAGTTTATTCTATGGTCTATTATTCTATGGTCTATCATGTGACCTCAGCAGTCAGAAACCACCCTGTTTATTCTGTAGACTGTCACGTTCAGATGTTGTTCAACAGGAAGTGACACAGCTAAAAAAATAAAAATAAAAAAAAAAAAGGAGGAGAAGAGCTGGTTGCCTTTCTCTTGTCCAGTCAGAGGATGATCCGCCCCAGCCGTTTTTTTTTTTAATCTGAAAAGGCCACTCATCAAATTCAAACCATAGCACGGTCCATTCAGAACCTGTGAATGTTTGGCTCTGTCTCCCTCTTCTTCAGCTCTTCCCTGTAGCAGTAGGAGCAGTAGTTGCCCGTCTCGGGGTGTCCGTAGTAGGTGCAGCTAGGTGTCCGACAGCGGCTGGACTGCAGGCTGGTCAAACCTCCTGCGCTGCCCAGCGAATAGTGTCTGACTGGTGGTTGCCCGCTCCGAGAGTCTAGGTTGGAGCGCATGTCCCGGAAGCCATTGGTGTAACTCCCACACGTGAGTTCAGACCCAGGATAGTCTGGGGGGTCGAACTCAGGGGGGTATGAGGGTATGAGTCGAGAAGGACTCAGGGAGGAGGGTCCTTGTGAGCTATTGTACTGGGGGGGTAAGGGACCCTGCGTTGTAGGGCAGTATCGGGGAAGAGTGGCATATGAGGGAAGGCCGGGATAGGTGGCTACCGGGGTGCCACCAGCTAGCTGGCGCCTAGTATCCATGTAACTGTGCATATGAAGTTGCTGGGTGAGGGGTACTGCAGCAGAAGACTGATCTATGAAGGACGGCCGAGGGATGGGCACAACACCAGAGTACATGGAGGGGCTCAAAGGAGAAGACTTTAGGTGGGGGAAGGAAGGTGGCGAGTTCTCTGACAGCTCCTCTTTGGCCTCGTAAGGCTGGTAACTCAGCTCTGTTCCGCCAACCACCTCCTTCCTAGGTGGCTGGATGCCATTAGTGGCAGCCTTCCTTTCTGCATCACGACGCTGTTGTTCTTGCTCAGCCCTGAAGCGCTCCTCTGCGTCAGCCAGGTAGTGCTGGATCATCTCCTCCTGGAAGGGCTGCCGGTTGCTGGTAGTGAGAAGGCTGGCAAAGATGAACTTCCTCTCACCTTGCATGGCAGCTCGCAGGATGCCAAGGCTGACCTTGACATCTGCGCTGTACTTGTATGTCTCGCTCTCAGTACTGCTCCCACCACTGCTGCTCATACTGCTTCCTGTTCCGTTGAGACGCTCACTACCTGAGGAGGGTGAGCCTTTCCCAGAATCCTCGGAGGCGTGGGCTGAAGGCGAGCTATCCTTGCTGCCCATCCTGCCCCTGAATGAGCCCTTCTTCTTCTCCCCACCCTCGTGCTTGGCACCTCCAGCTCCAGCGTTCTTTCCTGTCATCAATCCGCCCACATTCTTCCTCAGCTTGCTGCCCAGGCTCTTGCCAAAACTGCCAAGCTTATTGGCCACAGTGTCTGCCCTCTTCTTGTCTTTATCCTTGTCCTTTTCCTTCTTGCTTTTTTCCTTCAGTGCTGTTCCTGTACCTACCCCTGCAGATCCAGTGCTACAGGAACTAGATGAGGAAGAGGAGCTGTTCTTAGCCAAGAACCCACCACCATTGATAGTGGATGCTGTGGTTGTGTCACCGTTGCCATTAGAGCTGCTGCTGACTGACTCCTTGTCTGACTCTCCTGAATCAGGGGGCGTGCGTGCATCCTCTCCTGCTGATGCTGTGGGAGACTCGGGCTGGGCCAGAGGGGCTTGCTACAAGATAAAGGAAGAAAACAAGCTGGTGAAAATACTTTAGATGTGTATGAAAAATGAACATGAAGCCCAAACTAGCTGGGCTCAGTTTTATTGCCTAGAAATCCTAAAATACAGAAAGACAACTTCAGTACAATACAAGCACATACCCCCACAGGTAAAGGGAAAAAAAATTAAGACAGCGAGAATTTGAAAAAAGTGAGTCAGAGTTGTGTTTTGGCAGACCATGCAGAACAGTGAGTCAGTTTCCAGGTGCCTTTTATATCTACAAACACAACAAGGAAGCTGTAAAATAAAAATAATGGGGTTTTTCCATTATATGAAGCTACCGAAACATGTCGAGCTACGTGATATTCATCAGGGTTCTGCATTTGTTTCCATGGCCTGCTTTGGAGGTGTGTTCTGGGAGGTAAATCTGTGGAGGTAGCCTGAAAATTCTCAAGAAAATTTATTATATAGCTTATCGTGTTGGTCAAACTGATCAGCTTTCATATGTGTGTTTTTCAGTATTCCTCTGGACTTAGGGAGCAAACATTCAGTGTCAGAGTTTAAGAATTAGCATCAACTTTACCCATACATCCATGCTATACACGGCGTATTAAGCTCAGTAACAGCTGTAATGTTAGCTTACCTAGCCTTACCAGCTTGCTAATAACTTCTTAGAAGAACTGCATCTCTACAATTGACAGCATTGCCGGGGAAATTATTCTCTAGTTAATCAATCATGGACTGCATAGTTCTCTCAGATATAAAGTAATAAAAAGCGGTGGACAAATGTACTTGGGCGGCTGTTAATATACCCAGGTGACCCGCCCAAGTAAAGTCTCTGTGTGGAAAACAATGGGAGTGATCCTTCACAGCCTCCGCTCTCCCGTGTATGTGTGTGAGAGAGAAGCACAGCTCCTCATGCAAGACAGTCTGCATCAACCTGTGTGGTTATGCTGGGTGGCTGTTAAGGGGAGCGCAGGATGCATCGCTCGTTAGACTCTGACAGTGGAAACGCAGCTATAGTGATGCAGAACTCAAATAAGCAGCGGCTATTCAGCGATCACAAAGCTCTCCTGTGGTAGCACTGCAAAACAACAATCCCCTTAAATCACATTTTAATTGAGGGATTCCTACTGCCACAGGTCCCTGCAGCTTAACCATAAAACTGCTGTGAACTTGTCCCTCCAAGCTCGCTGGTATTAGAATGGTGAACATGAAAGGGCCTTTGTCAGAGTGTTTGAGTGGTGTGACTTTATGACCTGAATGGCCCAGTGCAGTTTGTTTTCACATACCGTTTGTACAGCAGTCAGAGGACTGCTGCTCTGATGGAAAAGAGAAAATTGTCCTTGTATATAATGAGTGTGAGAAATTAACACCAACCACAAACAAGGTGGTAAAACACCGAAGGACTCTATGGAATACTCACCCAGCCTTCATGTTTAATTGAAAAATAACTCACCACCTCTTATCTGTGGTTTAAGTTGTTTGTCACTGCAAAACAAACATGGGCCAAAACAGGATGTCCAATAATGTCTGATCTGGTTTTAAAAGCCTCCCTGCTGTAGAGGAGCAAACATCACTGGGGATGGATGCTTGGACTTTGATTTTTACCTCACAGGGCAGGGGCAGCCAGGTGACTGTCATGTAGCTGTGCATCATCTGAAGCTTGGCCTCCAAAGAAAGAGCCACACTGGAATAAAAAGAGAGAGAGAAAGACAAGTCAAAGTTCAGTGAGAGGAGACCATCAGACCAGTAGGTAGCTGATGTTGTTTTATTAAAATATAACAGTATTCTTATCATTAGACATCTTGGCAACAGGACATATGCAGTCCTAAGTAATAAATAAACCAAGCTGTCCTCTGGGATAACAGGAAAGGCTGCTAACTAGATAAACCATATACTGTTGGTCGTCTTCTTTAATGTGAACTGATAGATAAAATGAATGGCAGAGTTCCACCCTGCTGCTTAACAACAACAGTGGCTCTGAATGGTACAGTAAATGTATTAAAAGGTTCCTGTATTAGCCTTTTAACTCAATGACTTTTCCCAAACAATGTTAACAACCACTCCTGTAATATCATCTCCATCTGTCATTTCACCTAATTAAGGCCTCCACAGTGTCATCAACTGACGTTATTAAGGTGGAGGGCTGTTTTTACAGAGCTGCTATTTTGGTGCTTTTTCCCCTGCTCCATTCACAGAAAGTGTTTAGAGATAATCTTATTGTTACTGGCAGTGAGTGTCACTAATCTGGAGTCAGGGGTCAATCCCTGCACACTGACACTCAGTCCTAAAGGCACTGCTATCACATGCAAGTGAAAATGTGCCGCTCTCATTTTTAATCTGTATCCTTGGTGACCCAGTGTCAGCACTTGTGATGAATGAGTTTGCAAAAAGCACTTCAACACATTTAACCCAACAAAAAGAACTAGATGTAAATGTGTGAGATTCTTTTTTTTACCTTGCCAGCATCACATTGTCTGTGTCATCTTTGCCCCACTCCCAGTCTTTTCCCGGATCCACAGCAAAGTGCAGAGGCAGCATTTTGTGCTCTGAGTCAGTGAGAGGTATCACAACTGCTGGTAGAGATGGGAATACAAAAGCACTTTTAGACAAATGACAGAATCCTTTTGTCTGGCACTTTGGGCTTCTAAGTGCAGTCAATTCTTTTACTTTCTATTTGAACATTTAGCCTTCTGGGTCTGATCAATATTGTTTTTGGATGGTCCAATCACATACTTTTAAACTTCAAGGATAAAATTTTAATGCACAAACATCAGCATGAGCACAAGTATTCAGTTTATTACATAACTGAAGCAGTACTTATTAAATCCAATTCACTCTCACTTAATATAGCTCTTGATAAAAACCTCAATTCCCAGCATCATTCAGTTTGAACACTGTGTGTCTGCTTATTTAGTGCTGAGATTCAGAGACCACTGATATCCTCCTAAGTCCAATGGTAATTAGTCATCATTCTTAAATAAACGACTAAAATCAGTCTTTAAAAAAGACCCAACAAGCAAGAAAAAAATGAGAAAGTGGGCCATGGTACTTACTAGAAAACTCTGGCTCTAAACCTTGTAAATGATTTAGGGGCTTATTTTTCAACCAAACTACTAAGGAAGATTTTATGTGGAAGTGCTACATGCATGATCGATGTAGTATATTTTAGGGCTTAAACTGTCAGTGGCTTACCAGACGCTGCCAAAAAGAAAAAGATACAGTGACACGGTAATAAATACGAAAGATGTAGAGCACTACCTTGCTCTTTGGAGCCGTCCTTCTGCTCCATAGAGACCAGGGCAGAAAAGTGTGCCTGGTCGTACGCCAGCACCAGGGGCGAGCGATGGCACTTGGCAGCTGGCACTTCCAGTGGTAGGTATATGCCTCCGAACGGGATGGGAGCAAAGGCTAGGGAAGAGTCACAAGGACTGTAAACATCTGAAAAGCAATCTCAGCACTGTCACAGTCTCAGTACTGCTCCCAGGTTTTGAGGCATACATAAAAATGGGCTTTTACTACTATCAATACATCAGAGCCATATTTCACTAGTTGGAGATTTGTTTATATCTACTTTGAACAACACAGTATCTGGCAGCGGTTGTTTCTTTTAACCTGCCTGAGATATCAGATGGGTGGTGTTCACTTCATCAGGACAACCCAGGTAAGACATCAGACATTGTTTTGCCAATTGTAAATTCTGTAACTGACAAATCTAATCCATCTACAATGAAGATTAATTCTATGATGAAATATGGTAACACAGAACAAGATGCAGCAACATTTACCCTCTCCTCCAGAGTCCCTCAGCATGGTGTCAGCCACCACCACTATAGGCCTTCTCAGGACATGAGCCAGGACGAAGACATGAAACTCCTCTAAACTCTCATACACTGGTTCGTCTGAGGACTCCGCCCTTAAAGGAACAGCATCAGCACAGCTTTTGGTTAGCAAAGACACAATTGTTCCCAAGGTTGCAAATCAAGAGATCATTTAAGTTTTAAAAAATCCATACAATGTCTTTTTAATGGATTCCTTATGAGTGATAACACAAAAATGTGGAATGCAAACCTTTTGGTGGGCCACAAAAAAATTTACATATGAGGGTGAAATTAATTAATGAAAAAACTAATTTTTAAAAATACATTAAAGCCTTCAAAGTTTTCATTTAAAAGCTCTGGCAGTAAATCTAACCCACTGAACTTATGTTTCCTACAATAAATAGCAGATGGACTAAAATGAGGGCCAGCCACTCAGATCTGATTGTGAGCGCAGTTGTTAGTTCATGAATAAAAACATGAGTGTGATTAAGTGTGTGGTGGGTTAACAGCCCCTGCATTGTCTGAGCCAGATCTCACCCGTTGGTGCCGTTGGTGCTGTAGTGTATTCTTGGCTCGCTGGAGGCCAGCTTCAACAGTTCATTCCACTCTTTCTGCCACTCCTCCTCCGTGTACACCAGACCAGACTGAAGAGAAAGGAAGGGCACATGCAGACGCACACACACACACACACTTTTTAGAGAGGGAGTGTCAAATGTTACAAAACCATGCACTGACATTATGGCGTCTTACTACAAGGCTGCACACTGACAACTGACAATGCCCTATGTTGTTCACACAGTAACAACAGAACCCTCATCAATATGGTGTTTTTAACCTCCATATATGGACAGAAGGAACTGGCTGACATGGTTTTTTCCCTCAGAATCCAATTCCTGATTCAGCTACAGTACATTTATATAAGAAAGCTTCTCAGTGCAGCTGCAGTCCTCGACCGCAGACCACCAAGCGGCTCCACGAGAGCAATTTTTGTTTAAGTGACTTAAGAACACCTCAGACGTAGCTGCTGAAGAACGGGTGAACACTTGGCATGCGATTTGTGCGGCTTCTCTGTGGGTGTCCATTTTATATAACATGCTTAGTGTGCTGTCACGCTTCTGTAAAAAGGCTCTGAAACTCTTTTTTTTTGTGTGTCTTTTTACAATGTTGGATAGTAAAGTACAGTGAACTCATTTTTGGGTTTTGATAAAGAATAACTGACAATAATAACAGTAGGGTAGTGATAAAACTATCTTAAACCCCGTTTGCATTTGATTATCAGCATCTTGTCAAAGTGACCAGCAGCTTTTAAAGACAATGAATACCCAGTGAAAATTAAGATTATGTTCAACCTGCAGTCCAAAATTTTAAAAATGTTTGTTATAGCAGCTGTAGTACCTATATGTGTTTACACACTTTTATGTTTAATGGTACAGCAATTGGCACTGTGCTTTAAAGAAATCTGTTTTAATGCATATTACAATAATGAATTCATACATCTGGTCCATGATGTTCAAAAATACCTGCAGCTAAATCTAGATTATTAGTAGAAATATTTGCGGTACTGCTACAGAATTACTATGGGCATGGTGCAAAAAACTAGCAAGTAAATCTACATACATCTTGGCTAGGATTATTCTAGATATTTACTGGAGAACAGTCAATACTGAGCAAAGCTTTGTGTCCTGTTGCTTTCCTGCCTGTCTCTGGTGTCGTTTCCTGTTGCCAAGGAACTACAAGGAACACAGAAACTTAATCAACAGCAGTCAGCAGTGTGTGTTTGACATTTCAAATGTGCTCCATACGTGAAAGCTGCTGCAGGCTGACATGCACTGTCCGCCATAGGAAGCATGCAAAGGCCTTTATTCAGATCAAAAGCTCACAAAACTTCTCTGTGATTTAGGCTACTGTTGCCCTCTTACAGTCATCACAGAGTTACAAAGATAACAAACCTCTTTGTTCTGCTGGGTCTGCTGCCACCTCCACCTGCGCTTCAGCGCCTCTCTCTCCAACCCGTGATCCATCAGCGCATACAGGGACTTCCGCAGCATCAAGTCCCGGTCATGAAAGCCCCACATACCTGTGCCAACGAACCAAACCAGGACATATGACATGTATTCCAAAAAAAAAAAAAAAAAAAAAAAAGGTGCTGTAATTGATAAAATAATGAGCAGCAGGCATTTCAGGGGATTTTTTTTGTATTTCAGCATTCCTATATCTTACGAAGGAAAACGTTTAGGCATGAATATTACTTTCACATCTACTAACCAGTACTGTATATGCATTCCAGAGTCTGAAACAACACCTGCACATTAATTAAAGCATTATTAATATTCTCTACTATGGCTCCTAAGTGGGCCACACAAGTGAATGTCTAACGCATCACTGTAAAATACAGTTACGTTTAGGCTAACCACAAAGCTCTTTTAAAGTTTATGTGTAGGTGAGTGTGAATCTGCACAGTACTGGAGTCTTGTTTGAAGGGTCTATGACACTCACCAAGTGAGGCTGCGTGTAGCAGGCAGTTTCCATCACCGCTTGTTGCTAGAGGCAGCAGGTTCTGACAGTTTGGAACAACTTTCGTCCACCAGTTCAGTCGCCCTGCAGGTGCACAGGAAAACTAAACTCACCTGTTTGCATTAAAAATATTTTAAGTACTTCCCAAACAGATAATCATACTGTATCAACATGATCTTTGTCTTGTTTTGAAGTTAATCTCTTCAGTTACAAACAGCATACTCCAGCTTTGCCATCATTCACCAAATGTTAGAATGTTCAGTTTTTGCAGACATTGGTGGAAATAAAATTTTATGTTTATTACTAAGATCACAGATAAAAAGGTGGCATTTCTAATTTCCATACATGAGGGGTGCAGATTAGTAGGAACACTTCTGAATATATTGCAGCTGACTGTTGCACACACTGACTTTATTTTGGGTTGAGGAATATGGGTCTTTATCACAGCAGAACAGTTATCATACCACATCATTCCCGGGCCATCAAATACTGGCAATATGTTGAGTACCTTTAGTGTCTCATAAGGCTGTCTATAGTGTCCATAGGAGATGCACAGGATTTTCAATAGTGTATCCACTTGTGTTGGTATTTGACATCCAGATCAAGAGTTCATAGCATGAAAAGGAAGTAAGTCTGGGCTAGGAGATGGCTGGGGTGAAAGATGGGTCAAACAAAACTTTCCTACAGGAGAGAGGAGCTCATGTCTGGTGTGTTTTTTTTTTTTAATCACAGTGTTTTAACCCAAGCCAGGATGCTTTCCTAAACATAACCATGTAGTTTTTGTGTCTAACTATAATGAAAACCCTGAGTGTCTTATACGGATGCCAAAGCCAAAGGCACCCTTTAGCATCAGAGTGAGAAGCAAAAGGTCCTGTTAGTATTTGACACCATGGGAATGTGTACACATTGATCATATTTCAGGAGGAAAAGTACAGGTGTTACTAAAAACCTTAACGGTGGCTGCATTATATTCAAGCACCTCAGTAAGACACGGCAGTGTGACAGTGAGCCAGCAGACACAATACTGGGACCATGAAATACCCACTTCAGTGGTGACACTTTCCGATGCATGGATGTACATTAAGGTTGGATCTATTTAGTAAATTGCAGAATGAGGGGAAAAAGGACAACAAAACCCACTAGGACAAGACACATACATAAAGGTGAGATATGTACTTTATTAGAAGTGTTTCCAAGCATCATGGTCTACTACAAGAGAAAAGACTGCTGTGACGATGTGACAGGTTTTGCATAATGTTATGTGAGTTTGCCCATCTCTGTTAGAGTGCAATATTCATCTGTTTAAATACTGTTTCTGCAACATGCACTCATCTGAAGAGGAATCGTTAGCAGTGCATGCTGGCACACATCAAATGCGCAGTAACAACATGCACTGTGGTTAACTGACTGGAGAAGCTTAAACTTGTTGGTAAACTAGGCTATAACCATGTCTCAGAAGAAAAAAATGCCTATAAGAGCATTGTTTCAACAGAAATGCAAATGTGCTGCCTGTCTCATTAGCCCAATAATTCCATAAGGTAGCCCGACATTTATATATTATCAATGTAAACAGTTCACAATTCAACTATTGCATCATATGCAGCTGACATTTATTGATTTTTAAATGCTCAGAAATATGTTAATACTGATGTTAATGTGGTGGAAGTCATCGCTAAGATTCAAGTCAGCTGATTTTCTGAAAGTCTTGTATGTATGTATGTATGTATGTATGTGTGTACGTGCACTGTTTCATATCGGCATTGAATGAGTTTATCAAAATGACTGAAATGATCACATGTATGTGCATCAACATGATTATCTGTTTTGTGGAAACGTCAATGTTTTCCTCTGTTGTGCATATCTTATGCAGAACTGGAGTGTACTAAAAGCAATCTGCAGCATGATTTGATTTGTGACCATTCAATATTGTGGTGATAAGCTGTGTTGGAGCAGAATGAATGATGTTGCTTGGTTGTAGACTGTATTTTTAGATCCCACTGTAAATTTAATAGCTATTTAACCAGACACACAGAGAAGGTGTATGATGCCATTTAACTGAAAACTGCTTAATATTAACCAGCAACCCATATGTGCAAAGCCCTGAATTTATGTGCACCGATGTTCAGTTGATCTCACCAGCATGCTCCAAGGCCACCATCATTGACTGCTCAATAAGATCCCTCTCAATGAAACCACGGAAGTCATCCCGGTACAAGGTGAGGTCTGGTAGTTGGAAAGTGCACAGGGGCGTATCCAGAAGTGGCTCACTGCTGCTACCACCAGTGCTTGAGACGTGTGAGCGAGCCAGGGACACAATGATTGAACTAGCGTGGGAAATTCCCCGCGACAAGCGCTTCTCTGTGGCTGCTAAAAGACAGTGGCAGACGAGGAGAAGAAAAGACGATATTTATAATTTTTTGAGATAATTCTTGGTACTTGCAAACTCTGAAGAGACATTCATTAGCGTGTTCTCAAGTTACTTGACCAAGTGAGCCCAGTGCTTTAAAACTTCTGTATATCTACCAGTCAAATTAGGCTACGTAACATAAAAGCATTTCACTTGCTGCAGCCTCACCTTGTACCACCTCATCTTGGCGGTGGAGTACAGGTCGCCCTACCCTGGCCATCTCCTTTTCAGGAGGTAGATATGTCCTCTCCTCTCTGAATGAGTATGCCAGGTTCCCAGCATGCACCTGTCTCAGCTGCTCAAAGTCACTGAGTGCAGCACTGAAATCCCAGTTCTTCCCTAGAGAGAGAGGGGGATAGGAGCCAAGTGGTCCAGAATGATAACCCAAATCATGTTTCTATGTCAAGCAAATGACACTTTTTACTGAGTTTAAATATTTACAGGCTGGTATACCCATAGGCTGTCTTATCTTATGTAAAGGCCACTGGCGCATTCTTTCACTTTAGTAAATATCAGAATTTGGAGCACGTCACAGCTCGCTGGCTTGCTGCTGTTCAATGCGCTGCATTACATTTTTAACACATATTCTTATCTGCAACCTGTGTTGCTGCTAGGCAACAAGAGCTCGGTTGACTTCAGCCATAACTTCCTTCTGTGAGTGTAGGACAGCCTAATTACCAGTAACAAGCCAGAAGCACTGACTGAGAGCAGTCAGTTTGGCTGCAGCTTGTAATATCACCAGCTGTCGGCTTCGCATAACCTATCACCCCCCGCCCCTTCTCTCTTTAGCATTCGTGTATAAGGAGTGGAATTATCAAAGATTAAATTAAAAGATAAAAAGATCAAAGTGTAACTGAATTGAATATGTTTGGCAAAAACATAACTAATTTGTTCTTTAGGTTTAAACTGGATGTGATTAGGAATGATACATGAAAACAATCTGGACTTGACATTCACCACTACTCCATTTATTGTGCGCAGTTTAGTTTGCACTGTCGTGGGTAACTATCATGTAGAAAACTTAAAAACCCAATATTTCTCAAGCAGGTTCTAAAGCTTTCCATTTCCTGATCAGTACAGCGAGCTGCACTGTATGCAGCAACTTTGAGGCCCATTTGTAGTCTGCATTTGTTTATGTTTGGGAACACCAAGTATGCCGAACTGGGCATTAAAAGTTCATTTTTGCTATTCATTATTGGATGTACTCACACCTATCACTGAATTATTTTAATACTAAATAGTTCGTTAAAACCTGATGATTTTCAGCCAAGTTCCAAAGCATTCCAATATCTTCATTATGTCATAACTATGAGAAAAAGATGTCATAATTATGAGATAAGCTCCTCCAATTTTTTTGTAAATGTAAATGCACTTTCATATTTTCCAGACCAGTGGTCTAATTAAACACACGACAACTCACCCTCTAGTAGATCTCTGGCCAGTCCTGGTTCAGCTCCAGTGGAACGGACAAAATCGGACAGGACCGTGTCCATATCCACAGTCATGTGATCATGAATTTGAAGTTGGTGGGTTGCGTCCAGGCAGAATAAAGAAACACAAACACGGACTCTGCTCTGCCCGACAGGACAGGAAGGAAAATGGTGGCGGTGGTGAGGAGGAGCAGCCCTCTACCTTTTACTCTACCAGCCACACCTGAACAGAGAACACAGACGGAAAAAAGATTAAATGTACAGGTTTCCAGAAAGATAAGCAACAGCTATTAAGAGATGAATGGAGGGTTAAAGCTTGAATGTTTACAACAGTGAATGAGAATCACACTGATGAACCCTGCTTAACCCTTTTAAAATTCAAACCTGTTGCTGCTTTCGAACCTGATACCTTTGCAGTCACTTGTCCCATCCGTGACAACAGCACACAAAAGGAGCAGGTTTCACAAAAGTGTTTACTCAAATTTGCAATGAAATCTAATAAAAGTCAATGACAATGTATCATGTGGGTGGTGTCACTGTGTGACTGCAGTCCAAGTTCAGACATCTTATGATTCTGTGGTGGCATCTGCAGTTTTTTACGCTGTTGTGGGTTGGGCAGGAGGTAGCACGGGCAGGGACAGAAAGAGACATGGCTCTGGGGGGCTGGGGGTTCTAGTGTCTTGCCCAAGGACACTTCGACACGTGGACTGCCGGCACCGAGATTAGAACCCTCAACCTTGTACTATGCAATAGTCAACTGAGGTGCAATACTCAAATTCTGGGGGTAAAAATGCATTGTAAATATGCACATACTGTATATGTAAAGTCTTGTTCTTGATTTCTCTTGAATACTTTATATTGTCTTGTTTTAGGTATTTTTGAGTAGTTTTTCAGAGATCCTTGTGGTTGAAATACAGGTATTTCCCCTATTGCAGGATTAATTATGGGAGCAATATTCTTGTCCTTGATTTCTTGATCTCTCTCAAATACTACATCTTGTCTGGTTCTTAGGTATTTTGATTTGCTCTTAGGGATTAACTGTGGGGGGATCATTCTTGTTCTTAATTGTCTCTCAAAAACTATATTCTGTCTGGTTTTAGGTATTTTGGAACTTGTATCTCAAGATATGTGTGTGGTGTTTGTTCTTATGGTGTTTTGTTGCTGCTCTCTATTGCTGCTGGAACACAGGAATTTCCCCATTGCGGGATCAATAAAGCCCCACCTACCTACTAAAACCATGTGTCAGAGAAAGCAAAACATTTGTGTGAAGCAAACAGCCGAGATAAAGTCTGCTTTCAATCCGAATCGGTTGGCGAATCATATCACAGTACTGATACTAAATACCAATATTTGTCTTTCTGTTTGACAAGTGGGATTTTTATTCATGTCATGATTTAGATAAAAGTATACAAAAATTACACATTTCAAATGGTGCAGGTAAGTAAGCAGAGCTCAGCGCTGTACATTTTAAAATCCCATTTGTTTTGGCAGTTTGATATTAGGAAAGAGGATGCCTTCTTGAAATCAATTTGATAATTTTGTTCTTCAAATTTCAATAACGGATCCTAAAGAGCCACATGACTGGGCACCAAAATCAATGTAGTAATATTACCAAGGCTGAGAAAAACAAAACGAGTCAGCATCAATGGGCTGTGGACACAAAGGATGCAACAATCAATGTACAGTCAGACAAAAGGCATGAATAAAATAGCCCTGGCTAACAAGATGTACTTCAGGGGCCAAGCCACAGCTAAAAGCTTTTATTTTTACCAGGAAGGATATTCTGAGCAAACCACACTCAGACAGATACTAGCCGTTTTCATTCCACAACACCTTGCTGGGATAGTATCATTTATATTATTTCAATATTCTGGTAAATGACAGATGCTACTGATCAACAACTGACAGCTAAAAACAAATGACAACTTTTATCAGGGCCGCAAAACTAAAAGCATGGTTTGACATTTGGGTTTTTGACATTTGAATATGTCACTTTGGGCTCTGGAATATTTAACAGGCGTTTTTATTTTTCACTATTTTGACATTTTATAAACAAATGGAAAATAAAATAACTGAGAAGAGAATCAGTAGCTCAGTCAATAATTAAAATTAGCTGCGGTCTGACAACACTGATTTAGATAAAGCCTCCAACATGTAGTGAGGACATGAATAATGGCAATGCTGTATTTTAATTTCAATATTGCTGTGCACAATTGTAAAACTGTCCAGTCATTATGTTGCCATGAAGTTCAGAAATGACCTAATGCCAGTTTTGACTTTTTTATTTTTTATTTTTATCTACCTATAGTCATGTATTCCCATGCATCCTATGGCTCATCCACCACCAGTGTTCCTGCCTCATCTCTGACTCAGTGAACCCTTTTCCACGGCGCCTGATGAGTCATAAGTATACTCCTCTTTACACCTCGCCATTGTTCACTCCCTACCTCCCTCAGTTTCTCCATCATTATTAAAAGCCACACAGGCATGCAGAGTAGGAAGAGACTTCAGTACAAAAGGCCTTTCTCAGCCAGCAGAGTATTTCTAGAGCATTCTAGAGCAAACTCAGGCATTCAGCACCCTCCCCTGCAGGGTCTCCTGGCATTTTTGCAGTCTGCCGGTTCTGTTAGGCTCAGATCGAATGATATACGCACGGACCTGGAGATGTGGGACTGAGGCAGTTAACCATTTAAAACCACAGGGTATCAAGATAGACTTAGACCCCATTCTGACTGTGTTCTGGCTGAAAACAGCGCTGCATAAAAAAAAAAAACAAAAAAAAAAAAACAGACAGGCTGCGACAGACAGGAGTGAGCATGTTGCTATAGGTACAAGACGTAGTAGAAACCAGTCCATGAAGTGCCGTTTTTTTATCTGACTCTCCATCGTCCCAAAACACATAACATGCTGCACAACAGTTTACGTTCCTCTAAGGCTGGATTTCACATAAAGTTATCACGGCAGTAACTACTTTGTCCTCTGTTACAGTGCATATATAAACTGTATGGGACTGTAGCTGCAATGATTAGTTAGATGAATCATCAGTAATTTTGCTAATCAAATGATCAATTTAATGCTATTTTAAGAATAAATTACAAAGATTTGCTGGTCCCAGCTGATCGAATGTGAAGATAGGATGCTTTTCTTTGCATATTTCTTGTACATGACAGTAATCTGAGTATCTTTGGATCTTGGACTGTTGGTATAAAAAAAAAATTAAAAAAAAAAGTCAACTTGGGTAAATTATATGTTCCAGATAAAAGGATTAAACAATTCATTGGTAAAGTAAGTGACAGATGAATTGATAAAAATGAGCATCAGCTGCAGCAATGTTAGGTGACACACTACAAGAGCTATTGGGAACTGTGCTGTTGCAAAACATGAACCAGGAACAACATTTTAGTACCAGAATGACCTGATGCATTTTTATTCTCATAGCTCAGGCGACAGTCGTCTCCCAACCGGAAGGTTGAGGGTTCGAATCTCGGTGCCTGCAGTCCACATGTCGAAGTGTCCTTGGGCAAGACACTGAACCCCCCCAAGTTGCCCATGATGGCGGCGCGTATGCAAACAAAATTTGGTTATATGTGTCAGAATGTTACTATGACAATGTAATAGAGCTTCTATATTGTACCTTATGATTTTATTGTCACATTGCTTGCAGGAGTTGAAGATCATAAATGGCTTTTTACCGACAATAAGGTATGTGCAAATGACAGTAAAGTCGCCATTCACCTCTAATGTCAAGGCTGCCTAACCGCAATAATGTGGAGATCACACACAAAAGTCTAGAAAGACCCTGTGTGGATTACTGGCCATCAGAAACAGCACTGCTGCCAACATGGGGTTCTCAGAACGTGGGTGCTGAGCTGAGGACCAGGAGAATGGCCTGGATCACTGGGGGAGACGGGGAGGTCACTGTAGGCCACTGCCCCTCGGTGGGCATAGAGGGTCAATTCACTGCTGAGACTGGGGATGCAGGGCTGTTTTGTTAGCAGTTTGATTATTTGTGCAGAAAATATTTTTACACTCTTTGTATGGAATATTCGCACTCACACTGGTGATGCTGTGCACATTACTTCTAAAGATTTCTGAATATGACACTGATCCGTGAATAAAAGACAAAAATCCACTGGCCAAATGGTGAAACAGCCACATAACCAAGCAGTATGACACCAGCAAGACATTTTTAGATACTGTATAATCTGCAAAAAAGCTAGCGTGTTTCCAGACATCTGAATCACCCTCCTCATGTCTGACTGCTGGCTGATTATCAACCTACCATAAAAGCTCAATGAACTAAGCACAAAACCAAATTATACTGCTGCCATTCCTACTCTATCTTTAATATTTCTAGATTAATTTCCCCCTTTGACTCTTTATTGTAAACATTCTAGGCTATACCTCTTCACGTGCAGGTTTTTTCAACACTGTCTTTTTTTATAAGAAGCATTCTTAGCTACTTTCATTGTATGAATGTGTATGAAACATTTCTGTTGTTATTGTCCTGGTTGTTATAAAACCCAGACATGATTAGCAGTGTTATTCTAATGGGTTGTTAATGACCTGGGGTGAGGCCATTCCTAACTCCTCACAGCAAGATAAGGAACATCAGGAGAGAAACAGGCAATAAAATGTATAACCCACAAAGGGTAAGAAACACACGGCCTTTAGCCTACTATGTGTAAAAGCTACTAGTCTGCTTTGTCATGCTACACTGGGTGACCTTGCGTCCCTCAGTGTATAGCATGACCTATGTTATGACAACACCACAAACTACATCTTGTTACAATGCTGAAGACGAGCAGTAGTAACCAAACATTAATATCACAAGACAATAAAATGAAGCCTAATTTAAACATTTTCCAATTTAAAAATCCATCAGGTGATTTATCTAGCCACACAACTAGAGGAAAAACACAGAGTTTTAAAGTGCCTGAGCTATTGAAACAACTGAGCTAACAACAAACTACAGTTCCTTTTCACTCCTGCAATATGTGACTGTAAATCAATGAATGCAGGTTCGGATCCAGTTTCACTCTGGATAGTTTATTAACATTTAGATCGCAAGCTGTGCCTGCATCTCCACATGCCTGTAAAGGTCTCCATGAGAGAGAAACAGGGTCATGAGCAGTGGGTTGCCTACAGCGAAAGTCACCATTTCGTGTTTGACTCATTAAGGCTACATTCACCAAGTGAAACATGAGCTTTGCTTTACAATAA